GGAAGACAATTTACTGTCTGGTTGGTGGGCCGGCTAATCCTGAATTATGAAGACAATTTTCTACTGGTTTCCAGGTGGTCTGAAATAGCTCATACCAAATCTGTTAGATCATGCTGCACCTTCTTAAAAAGCCCACCAGCTTAGAAATGTCTTGCATGTGTTATATTATACCTAGTCTGACCTTGAATTTCTGCAGAGAAGATATGTATGGCTTTAACAGAATAACTGACACTTCCCCGTGAAAATACCCCGGTTCTTTAATCCATTGATACCCAAAAGCCAAGACATAGTGTTGCAGTTGGCATGAAAGAGATAGATATGACTTTTATTGGTGAGAAGTATTCAGATTAGCTACAGCCAAATCTATACCATCTATCTATAATGGTTATTTAACACACAATTGTATACAGCACACCTCAAAATCATTCTACTGAACGATTCAACTGTACATACAATACATCTATATACTTCAGCCTAAGTCAGGTAGATGTCGGACAGATGACATGAAGACTGATGTGAACGGCTAAGGTAAACATGGAAATCACTTTATATCTCTTTTCAAGTCCGTACAGATCTGTTCCTCCCTGAACATATCATTTGACATTTTACAATTGAACACAGGAGATTATACTATTGACTTTGGATAGGGAAGCATTTAAAGACTTGGAAACCATCTATCTATAACTTATAGACTCAGGAATCACCTTCTCCATAACTTACACGGTCAAAAATAATTCATTTCATAAATCAGTTAAACAGATTTGTACAAAAACATATAGAGATATAGAAACCAGCAATTAGATTGAATAGGTTGAAAAAGCTTGCAATCTTGACAACACAATAGGAAGGAAATCAAATAAACTTGTAACAGCCATCACTTATGTATTAAAATACTGGTGCAGTACTTTCAAATTGTAAGTTAATCTGTTTATTTGTTCAGGATATAACTTTTAACAGAAGTCCTTTCTCAATGAAAATTCCACTGTTCAACAAACTGTAATCAAACAGTCTTTGAGGTTAAGCATCATACGGCGACGAGTATTTACTGATAACAAACGTGCTAACAGGGTTAAGCATCATACGGCGACGAGTATTTATTGAGTACAAACGTGCTAACAGGGTTAAGCATCAAACGGCGACGAGTATTTACTGAGAACAAACGTGCTAACAGGGTTAAGCATCATACGGCGACGAGTATTTACTGAGTACAAACGTGCTAAAAGGGTTAAGCATCATACGGCAACGAGTATTTATTGAGTACAAACGTGCTAACAGGGTTAAGCATCATATGGCGACGAGTATTTACTGAGTACAAACGTGCTAACAGGGATAAGCATCATATGGCGCCGAGCATTTACTTAGTACAAACGTGCTAACAGGGTTAATCATCATACGGTGACGAGTATTTACTGAGTACAAACGTGCTACCAGGGTTAAGCATCATACGGCGACGAGTATTTACCGATAACAAACGTGCTGACAGGGTTAAGCATCATACGGCGACAAGTACTTACTGAGTTCAAACGTGCTAACAGGGTTAAGCATCATATGGCGACGAGAATTTACTGAGTACAAACGTGCTAACAGGGATAAGCATCATACGGCGACGAGTATTTACTGAGTTCAAACATGCTAACAGGGTTAAGCATCAACGGCAACGAGTATTTACTGAGTACAAATGTGCTAACAGTGTTAAGCATCAAACGGCGACGAGTATTTTCTGAGTACAAACGTGCTAACAGGGTTAAGCAGCATACGGCGACGAGTATTTACCGATAACAAACGTGCTGACAGGGTTAAGCATCATACGGCGACAAGTACTTACTGAGTTCAAACGTGCTAACAGGGTTAAGCATCATATAGCGACGAGTATTTACTGATAACAAACGTGCTAACATGGTTAAGCATCATACGGCGACGAGTATTTACCGAGAACAAACGTGCTAACAGGGTTAAGCAGCATACGGCGACGAGTATTTACCGATAACAAACGTGCTAACAGGGATAAGCATCATACGGCGACGAGTATTTACCGAGTACAAACGTGCTAACAGGGTTAAGCATCATATAGCGACGAGTATTTACTGATAACAAACGTGCTAACAGGGTTAAGCAGCATACGGCGACGAGTATTTACCGATAACAAACGTGCTGACAGGGTTAAGCATCATACGGCGACAAGTACTTACTGAGTTCAAACGTGCTAACAGGGTTAAGCATCATATGGCGACGAGCATTTACTGAGTACAAACGTGCTAACAGGGATAAGCATCATACGGCGACGAGTATTTACCGAGCACAAACGTGCTAACAGGGTTAAGCATCAAACGGCGACGAGTATTTACTGAGTACAAACATGCTAACAGGGTTAAGCATCAAACGGCAACGAGTATTTACTGAGTACAAATGTGCTAACAGGTTTAAGCATCAAACGGCGACGAGTATTTACTGAGTACAAACGTGCTAACAGGGTTAAGCATCATACGGCGACGAGTATTTACCGAGTACAAACGTGCTAACAGGGTTAAGCATCATACGGCGACGAGTATTTACTGAGTACAAACGTGCTAACAGGGTTAAGCATCATACGGTGACGAGTATTTACTGAGTACAAATGTGCTAACAGTGTTAAGCATCAAACGGCGACGAGTATTTACTGATAACAAACGTGCTAACAGGGTTAAGCATCATACGGTGACAAGTATTTACTGAGTACAAACGTGCCTAGCAAAACATGCTAACAGGAGTTTACAGGATATCATCAATAAATATCATGTTCACTTTATTTATCAATATTTTAAATTTATACAGACAGGTTGAAATCAACTATTTCAGCCCTTTTTCATCTCCCATTTATTTTAAGTTTATTTTATTCTGCTTATAGATATAGCTATAGTCGCCTAGTAGTAATTAAGTTGTTTTACACTTATGTTGTGTAGCGATGTTTAGCAGTAGTATATATGTAGTGTATAATATGTAAATGAGCTGGGCTGTTGGCGTATTGACCAATCAGCAATTATGTCTTAGAGGGGTGTTGGTATTGGTCAGCTTCAGTTGCTAGCCTTGTGCGGTAGTGGTCAGTCTTTTTTTTTGCCATATTATTTCAGTCTCAAACTCATTTTTTATCGTGCATACCCACACATGGAATGGACCAGATTCCATCTCAAGCTGAATATTACCATTATCATAGCTTCTCTGATTTTTCGAGTCACGTTGCTTCTCCAGGGTCTACCGAGTCAAGCTTACTTCTCATAAAGTCAGAGTCAAGCTGATTTAGCATGTTACTGCACAGTGCTTCTCTGTTTTTTCTCAGAGTCAAGCCTATTGTTATTTTGGTTAATGAGTGAGTAGCCCCATGTACGCCAAAGAAATAAGGTTTATATTTCGTTTGTGGTTTATAGTCTTCGGACTATCGTTAATAAACATCTTAACTGTTTCCTTGATTCTTTTAGTTATGTATAAACTATCAAAAAGAGCACTCCGGGGAAACCTGAACTTCCTGTTAATGTGTGGAAACGTGGCCCATTGACACTGTAATGAATTCAAACGAACCTATACAAGAATACAAGGTCACGAACTAGTCGATTCCGATAGCATACAGACCCTTTTTGGTTTTTAGCTTCTAAAAAAATTAAACTTGTGATCCCATACAAGATCCTTTACAAGAACACAAGGTCACAAGCTAGTCAATTCCGATAGCATACAGACTCACTTTGGCTTTTGGCTCCTCAAAAAAATGGAACTTGTGATCCCATACAAGATCCTTTACAAGAACACAAGGTCACAAGCTAGTCAATTCAGATAGCATACAGACTCACTTTGGCTTTTGGCTCCTCAAAAAAATGGAACTTGCGATTAATTGTAAAACATTTTAATTGTGACGAGAGCCATCAAAGGGGAAGTCAATGTAAAGACTCGTAGGTAAACACTAAGTACGAAGGTTCAATCTCAGCATGCCAGGAACTATAGTACTTTGTACGCAAGTTATATTCAGTAAGACTATATTTGAGCTTATGTAAACAAACTTCCGCCACTGTCTACAGAATATAAATATTTACAATCGTTTTCAAACTGTATGCCTGTTTAATGTGAAAACATGGGTTTTTAAGAAATGCTGTAACAATTATACTGAAGTAGGTTTTTATACAGGTATAGGAATATCAGGTAACTCTAGACATTGGATCGGTGTTCAATATATAATCTATTATATGACTGGTATTGTTATCTTCTCACTGATTGGACGACTCCTATATTTCTATTTTGGCTACCATGTTATGTTGACCTTAGATGTTCCATGGAGGTAAATGTCCAACATCTCCAGTTAAAGTACCTAAAACTGACACAAAGAGAATTCCTATCTGGATCAATACATCTGAGAAGCCCATAGATTGATTTCAGTGAAGTAAGGTATGGACCATTCTCAATGACAGTATGAACGTCATATAATGAAGCATTCATTAACCTTGATTTTGGTTCTGTGTCGATTCGTTAATATCTAGATATGTTAACTTTCTCGGGTTGATAAATCATTGATTTGACCTCAATTTAAAAGGTTGATGATTGGATACACACAATCTTCTATATTATAGAGTAATCATACTCAATATACTCTCTTAGAAGGCAGAGGAATCACCATCTTACCACAATACAATTAACTACAATTCCATATCATTACATAGCACCATCACACAACTTTTTGATATACAAATGTACCCAGTACACAGACCCCTTTGATACATTCTTCAGGTTCATATAGCACAACCAGTGAAATGTTTTTGAGGTAACGGAGATTTGGCTACACTTTAAGTGCATGTACACCTAGGTGCTATCAGTGAATGAGAAAACAACCAAATTGGAAATTCAAAGATATCTCTATTATTCTGAGTCTAAATATAACATGTTAATTACCTATTTTTCTAAGCCAGAATATGACATGTTTTCTATCTGAAGAGGAGTGTTAGGGGAGACAAGCTTAAAGCTAAACAGTACGACAAACTCACCATTGGCGTAGCTGCTGTAGTCCGTGTCACTCTGACCGTTGTGCCCGGTGATAGGTGGCAGCACAGTCTGAAACCCGTTTTCTGGGATAGCACCATTTTGAGCTCGGTGGGACAGTGTTCTATAATTCGCTGAATGTCTCAAGAAGTCAGCGTTCTGTTTACTTGTATCAAAGTAGCCATTGGTTCTGAAACAGAAATTTACTTTATATCAGTTTTTAACAACGGCCTTTAAATTTCACATCTGGTCTACAGGTATTCTAAACACAAAGCAATGTTAAATGTTGTTCATTTTTCATTTTCATAAATGATGAACTACAGACAAGCTGGTTCGATAAGTTTCAGCAGAATCATAGGTTTTTATGTGACAAATAAACTACAGTAAAATTAGAAATTATAGCAGTGAGGAAACGCTCACCTTTTTTTCGTGGTCAATAAATTAGCAGGAAAATATCCTCAAAGGAAATAAACAGATTCTAGGTATAAAGAATATATAAATCAAAGAACCACTGCCAACACGAATAATTACAACACCACGCTCAGTTTAAGGAGTCATAGCAGGATTTTTTTTTAAGACGAGAATTTCCACTTTTACATTAGCAAGGTTCCAAACCATTTACCATAAAAGGTAGCTGCAGTTCATTAACTTTGTCTGAATAATCTAATTTCTAAACCTAACACTAGTATTTTATAGTAGATTCGGCAACCGAGCACCTTATTGTTACTTACACAGTGCGTGGGGTCGCAAGGGTTGCCAGGCGACGTATTTCACTAGGGGACGTGATTCTCGTCTTCAGGGACAGGAAGAAATTCTCCTCAGTCGTGTAATCTATATAGAAGATAAATCATACTCAGGTAAGGGCTATTCATTGAAAACAGTAATCTTGCTAGGATGTTGGAAGTAATTATGCCAATTTTATCCTGCAAACTAAAAAATTATCACTGAAAAATACAATAAAACATTGTTATATTGCCACTATTTTTTCAGAGAAATGTTTGAGTTATAAATGGATATGGCATTACATCAAAAGAGACAAGGAGAAACTGTATGGTAAACAAGAGACTTTGAAATATGTTGGTGGTTAGCAAGGCATCAAATTAAACTTGGGCCTTTATATTAGGAATGTTTTTCTGCAGTACATATTTTGATTATTAGTGAATCAATCGGACATTTCCTGGTTTTCTATTGGTGTATTAAGGAAGATTGTAAACATACTTGTAACCCCAGCAGCGCTCTCCAGTCAACAATATTATAAATATTAGCTTTATAGAATATTTTATTTGTTTTAATGTTGTTGGAATCAATTTGCTACCAATATTTCCTTGTTAACGTGGCCACGGACGTAATTAGAGTATGATCAATAATTGGACACTATTGACATCAGAAGAGCATGTTTACTGTATCTCATTAATCCATCACTATATTTACTTTCATTTTGACAAATATTAGTACAGACCACAGCCTCTTCTTCATCCACAGGTATGACACACAAAGGTAAACTTGTATCAGTCTCTATTTTAGACCGCATACAGGTAACATTGTAATCAACAGGTAAACCTTCCTATAAAGTCTCTATTTTAGACTGCATTCAGGTAACATTGTAATCAACAGGCAAACCTTCCAATAAAGACCGTCCAGGGGAAATAAATCAAAAACTGTCTTAAGGATCCCTGTCCCAATGCATCAGGTTTTTCCTATATACAGTAACCTCCTTTTAACTTCCATTTGAATATAACTGTAGCACATATTTGGGGTAGTAAACTTACGTTGACCAGGTAAGCTCATTCAGCTACAAAGAAAGTATAACAGAATGGAGTCCAGGGTTCGATTCTTGGTCTAACCCCGCATTTAATTTTACACTCCGAACACTGTTGTTGATTATATTTTGTTTATTAGTCCCGCAAACTGTAGTTTTCTTTTCAGAAATGATTTATCAAAGCTAAAGTCATGCCGGAAAAAACAGTTTCCAACACTTAGTTACAGTTATTGGAAGTGGTACAAGGACCCTTAATGGGCATGTTTTAAGAAAAAAATTGATATGAAAATTTTAATACATTGAACAAATCTTATTTTCTTATTATTTTCATTGAAAACAGCCTTTGAGGTACAGTTAAGATCAAAACAAACATAAATAGTTTCCAGAAAGATTTTTTCTTTCTGACCTGAAATTACACAACAGAAGAATATTCTTTATGGAAACCTGCAGTCTTCAGGAGTTGCTAATTCTTTTTTATATATTTATTTACAATCTTTTTTAAAAAGGGCTCTTTACACCACAAGGTATCCTCCTAAAAATGAGACGATGACCTAAAAATATACATGTTGACTTATTGAATGTTGGTTCTTAGGAGATCTTCCTCTACTTTCTCTAATGGAACAATTAAGGTGAAAACATTTTTAACTATTTCATTTTCTTTTAGGAAAGAACAAGGGACATAGTCTTTTTATAAACATTTAAGACAAAAGATCAAAATTAATCAATAAAATTCAAGTATTGATTATTACCTGCATATGTTAATAAACATTCATACAAAAATATCCCATTATTATCATTTCAAACATCATAGAAACATCACATCTCTGTAATCAATTAATCAATGCACAAGTATGTTTGCTGCAAGAAAATAAGATGATGTTAAACAACAAATATCTACAGCTCCCACAATACATTGTCCACTACTCTCTGATCAAGGTAGCAGTATAAATATTTTATCAGCACTCAACTTTAGTCAACAAAACTAACCTAATATTAACACTTAATCTGCCTGCAGCAAACAAGCCTCCTAGATAAACCCTCCAAGCCCCACACAAATCGTTTAATTCTCCCTGGGATTTTGTAGACGTCAATGGCTCAAATAAATGTTGGAATAAACAATTTCATTGGTACATGCTTTTATTACTAACATTGCTTCCTTAGCAAGTATCTTTAAATACACTAGCATTCTAAAATGATTAGACATGGATACAACTCAACAAATCATCAACCTTTATCTTTTTTAATATCAATAATTATGTTTTTCATATTTGAGTATATAAATATTGTGTGAATATTGACAATAACCGGTACCACAATGTTTTCTGGCTGGTTACTGTTGACCAGGGAAACGAAGTAAAACATGAGTAAGACACATCCTATCGTTTCCCATTCCCTACTGCCAATTCATCTCAAGGTTCTTTTTTCCTTTCTTTTTGACCAAAATTCTCTATTTGTATTCTTTCTTGTTATACAGGCACGCCCTTTCATAATGACAAAATTATGCTGAACAAACATTTGAAGTATAAAATGGTTAACTGTGTGTAGCTGTGTGTAGCTGTTACCGGTAACTGTGTGTAACTGTGTGTAGCTGTCAGGTTGTCCTTTCTAAAAAAATAAGTTCAGAATTTTGTTTGATATTAACCTAGTAAAAAAGGCAAAAATTTAACTACAGCGAATTCTCTTTGACCAACCATAAGTGCAACTTGATCAATCTGACTCACTTTATGTTTATGCATGTGTTGTTTAATTTCAATTTCAATAGAAATGATTCAATCAAAAATCTTTGATAAAAATGGATATTAACTTTTCCAGGCAAAACCTAGAAAAACAAGGCAATGTGTTACAAGCATTCCATAGTTCCCCACCTCTGGACAAAGTTCTGTATCAAAACTGAAAAAAGGGGCTATAACTCTGTAAATAATTGTGGATACCCAGACCAAACATTGGTGACATTTTGCCAACACAAAAACTGCTAACAAATTTTTGCGATTGTAGTTCAAAGTTGACAACATATATGACATTCAGCACTCTCAAAAGTAATTCGCATATAAATCTTGGCAACTGTAAGTGACCAAGTATATTAGATATGCCTCTGACAAAGAGGACCTGTATGGATGAGTAGACCTACTGAGGGGTTGGTGTGCAGTCAGAAAGACAGAGTCCATTCTAGCAGTATCAGTGGAAATCTAATTAGCTCTAACAGCTACTGTCACACAAATATATATATTGCACATATAGGTAAACCATTATACATGGCTAGTCTTAAGAACATTGTTAGCAGACACAAACCACTTTACGCTAGTTTTAAGAACATTGTTAGCAGACACAAACCATTTTACCTGTACGTGTTCTATGGGATACCATCCACAGACCTGGTCAGAGTTAAAGACATCAACTTAAGCTTACAAAATGACAATATTTTTGCTTTTTCATAAAACATTCCCCTTGAAGAGAGCTAATGACAAATTGATTTTCTATTGGTTGTTGGTTATTTTTCAGACACAGTGCATTTCGAAATGTATAAATCTAAACAATTCTGTCTTGAAATTTAGTAATAAGTGACAATTTTACATATACATCATGTATCAAGTTAACCTTTTAACAAAAAATAACACATTAAAATGTTACAAAGCAATACATGTAAATGTCTTGTATTTTACACCATCTCATGTTACAATAGATGCATCAAATATTATTCAGTTGTTCTGATGTTATAACCCTGACAGGCATATATATTAAGTTGACCTTTAACAAACTGCTGTGACCTCGGCCACTGGAGTTGTGACTTGAGATCGGTACACGGAACATTATTCGGTCATGATCCAGATATGAAGTTTCTACAAAAAACTTAAGTCAAGGTGGACCTAAGCCCACACCACAAACCAAAGTTTAGCCAATAGGGAGTTGATGACCCTAAACCTCACCAGTTTCACCAATAAGGACTAGAGACAATGTACAGAAGAGAAATGTTGAACAAGAGACCAAGAGGGCCTGTATTGCTCACCTGGATATCTTAGTTATAATGGCAAAACATTCTCATTCTAAGAAATATAAAAAAAAATTAAAAAAGGTCTGCAAGACATAAATGCCCCCGCTGCCATGTGAAATTAGTTTCAGTGTTCTATAAAATGTTACAACCACTTTGATCTTGATACCCTGAAACATGCACACACACAAGGTACTACACTACACAAAGTTGATTTTAATATTCATATGTTTTTTCTGTATGTTATTATCATCTACATAACATATTGAATGAAGTTGCTAAGCGTTTATATTGAATCAGTAGATGATTTTCTATATATAGCAACAGTGACCTTGGCCTTGACCTTGGAACCCTGAAACACAACAATGTCCAAAGTATACTCATACTTGACCTTTGCATAAAGTTTGACCAAAATCCATGAAAGAATGAAGTTACTAAGTGTTTAAATTGAATCAGCTGATGTTTTTCTATATATAGCAAGTGTGACCTTGGCCTTGACCTTGGATCCCTGAAATACAACGATGTCCAAAGTATACTCATACTTGACCTTTGAATAAAGTTTGACCAAAATCTGTCAAAGAATGAAGTTGCTAAGTGTTTACATTGAATCGGGACGGGACGGGACGGGACGGGACAGGACGGACAAGGGTAACACTATATGCCCCCCCATTTTATGGCGGGGGCATAAAAAACAACTCCAGGATCGGTGCTGGACCCTAATGGGCCAAGACTGGTAGCATATGTGAATTCATCTATTTTTACTTGAAAAATGTATGTATGATTATAATTATAGGGTGGGGATCTTAACTATTATATCCATGTTATGACCAAGGGACTAAGTCTCCAAGGACGGGGCAGTCAAAAAAGGCAAAATGGGGTTGGGGGTTCAGCCACTTCATTGTGCTTCCATTCCGGTGAAATTCTGTTAAACAGTTTGAAAGTAGAAATTGTTTGAAGAAATTGTTGATGAATGGAGAGAGGATGTATGTATATATATACAGTACAGCCTAAGCTCCCGTTTGTCCTTCAGACCAGGGGATCAACTATCAAGTCATTTTTTATGTGTTTATCACATTATAGTATAAA